TAGCAATCCAAAACAGTCCAGTGGAGCCTGAGCGGTGGGTGTTGCCTTCTGACACACTTCCGGTGATGTCAGGGGGTGTGGCATATGCAAATATGTTATGCTAATGAGCTCCTGCACCTCTTTTTTTACAAAATGACCCCTGATGTTAATAATGCCATTGATTCAATATATAATAGATTAAGTGTTGCACCTGAGCTTCTTTGACGTTCCACTGAAGATTCACGTTTTTTATTTGCTTACTGGATTGTTTTAGGTAGGGCAGCTGTTCAGAATTCTCTTGGAGTTCCAAGGGATCTGTAGAGCCTCCCCGAACAGCAGTGGGCAAGGAGTTAACAGGAGATGTGCTTGGCTGCGGTCACACACGGTAAATAATCCACTTTCAATCCAGTTTCAATGCACTTTCCAGCTGGATTTTTACTGTGTGAACTGGCAAAATCCAGTTTGAAAGTGCATTGAAAGTGGGTTGAAAGTGGATTATTTAGTGTGTGTGACCGCAGTCCTTGTGGACTGTGTATAAAGTGGACTCTTTCCGTTATGGAGCAGAATGTTCATTATTTTGAATTGCAGAGGGCAGTTGTGGACAGGTTGTACCACTGCAGGGCAGCCCTGGAGAGAGGGGTGACTCCTGACTGCAGAGGATGCAAATGAATCCTTAAGCCCCCTGCCCCTCAGTGCGGTGGAGTGACTTAGTCTCCTCGGTGGAAAAGCCTCTGAGCCCCTGAAGCCCCTCCCCAAGTTTGTAGGGAACCCATCATCATATTTGCCCCAAGCAACAATTTCTGCCCTCTGCTACACTTTCAAGATAGTGACTAATGAACTAACTGTCCCCTCCAACCCACCAGCAATCCCGCCGTGCACAGCCAGTCAGGGAGCAAAGTAAAATTCTTTTCCAGCTCTGTAAACCAACTGCCAACCTTACGCCAAGCAAGGTGCAGGCAGCGTTCTAGTAAAAACCAAATAAGGTCAGGTGAGGCCAGGAAAGGGATTACCAGATAATAGACACAAGAAGGTACACAGTTGGGGCTGGTGGCGGGAGAAACGAACAAACTGAGCCTCATCTTGAACTGCTTTTCCTTATCTGTATACTTACAGTAACACGAGTCCCGCTCCTGCAGATAACTAAATCTGTGGACTAGGGCCACGCCGACATGAAACAGATCTTTCTTCAAACTTGGGGGCCTCCCCAAGTCTGCAGGAAAATCTGAAATTATTCTCTCTCTCTCTCTCTCTCTCTCTCTCTCTCCCTCC